ACCCTGGAGTGTAGACCATCAGGTGCTGGGAATTTGTCCCTTATGAGTCTTAAGGCCTTAAGCCCATTTTGGTGGAACATGTCAAGTGAGCAGTTCATAAAGCTTCATTAATAGGAGCATACAGTAGAAGAACGAAGATGTTATTCTGAACTTAAGAAACTAGTTAGACTTCAACTGGTGTATTGCGTACAGTTCTGGGAGCTTGGACTTCAGGAATGATGCAAAAGCATTGGAGAGAGTGCAGAAGAGGTATAAGAGAATGGTTCCAGGAATGGTTTCTGGTCCTGGACTCTCCCACAAAGGAGAACAACCTCTGTGTTCACCATGTCAAACCTGCTAAGAATCTTGCATGTTTCAATAAAGCTACCTCACATTTCTCTAATGAGTAGAAACCCAATCTCCAAAACCCAACACGTCCTCAGAAGAAAATCCCTCCATAACTGAAATCAACCTAGTGAACCTTCTTTGAACTGCCTCCAATGCCAATACATCTTTCCTCTGATAAGGAAACCAAAAATTATTATTTTTAGCTTCGTGAGTGAGCCGTGGATGGATATTCCTTGTTGAGTTTTTGTTTTTCAATGGAATGTATCTTATTGAAGGTTTTGAATTTTTACGTCAATGTTTTCCTTTGTTCATTCAGAGCCATAGTTTTCGGTCGATTTACCCAATTAACCTTACTCAGTTCTTCTACCTATATAGTTATCTTCATGGTTAAAATTGGCATTTGCATTTAGAGTGCATTATTTTCAAATTTAACATGAAATGCAATGGTATCATGATAACTAGTAACAGATCCTCTCTGAAATATGATATTATTAAACAATCTATGATTCTACAATTCTATGAATCCTGCCTTATTGCACAATACTAGATCAAAGATAGTTTTATTTTGATAATTCCACAGCAGATCACTTCATGAAACTGTCATGAAAATATTCTATAAATTGACTTTTGGAGCACTCAATTAAAATGTCCTAATCTATATGAAGATTAAAGTTCTGCACAATAATTCACATTGCCTTTATAACAAGCTTCTATAATTTTTTTCCTTACAAAAGAACAAAGAACAAAGAAAATTACAGCACAGGAACTGGCCCTTCGACCCTCCAAGCCTGCACCGATCCCCCTCCTCTATTTAAACCTGTCGCCTATTTTCCAAGGATCTGTATCCCTCTGCTCCCTGCCCATTCATGTATCTGTCTAGGTACATCTCAAATGACATTATCGTCCCCACCTCTGCTGGCAACGAGTTCCAGGCACACGCCACCTTCTGCAAAAAGAACTTTCCACGCATATCTCCCTTAAACTTTTCCCCTCTCACCTTGAAAGCGTGACCCCTAGTAATTGAGTCCCCCACTCTGGGGAAAAAACTTCTTGCTATCCACCCTGTCTATACCTCTCATGATTTTGTAGACCTCAATCAGGTCCCCCCTCAACCTCCATCTTTCTAATGTAAATAATCCTAATCTACTCAACCTCTCTTCATAGCTAGCGCCCTGCATCCCAGGCAACATCCTGCTGAACCTCCTCTGCACCCTCTCCAAAGCATCCACATCCTTTTGGTAATGTGGCGACCAGAACTGTACGCAGTATTCCAAATGTGGTCGAACCAAAGTCCTATACAACTGCAACATGACCTGCCAACTCGTGTACTCAATACCCCGTCCGACGAATGAAAGCATGCCGTATGCCTTTTTGACCACTCTATCCAGCTGCGTTGCCACCTTTAGGGTACAATGGACCTGAACACCCAGATCTCTCTGTGCATCAATTTTCCCCAGGGCTTTTCCATTTACCGTATAGTTTGCTCTTGAATTGGATCTTCCAAAATGCATCACCTGGCATTTGCCTGGATTGAACTCCATCTGCCATTTCTCCGCCCAACTCTCCAATCAATCTATATTCTGCTGCATTCTCCGACAGTCCCCTTCACTATCTACTACTCCACCAATCTTAGTGTCATCTGCAAACTTGCTAATCAGACCATCTATACCTTCCTCCAGATCATTTATGTATATCACAAACGACAGTGGTCCCAACACGGATCCCTGTGGAACATCACTGATCACAGTTCTCCATTTTGAAAAACTCCCTTCAGCTATAACTCTCTGTCTCCTGTTGCCCAGCCAGTTCTCTAACCATCTAGCTAGTACACCCTGGACCCCATGCGACTTCACTTTCTCCATCAGCCTACCATGGGGAACCTTATCAAATGCTTTACTGAAGTCCATGTATGTGACATCTACAGACCTTCCCTCATCTATCAACTTAGTCACTTCCTTAAAGAATTCTTTCAAGTTGGTAAGACATGACCTTCCCTGCCCAAAACCATGCTGCCTATCACTAATAAGCCCATTTTCTTCCAAATGTAAATAGATCCTATCCCTCAGTATCTTCTCCAGCAGCTTCCCCACCACTGACGTCAGGCTCACCAGTCTATAATTACCTGGATTATCCTTGCATTCTGTCCAGTTTTGCAGCTGCTGTTCGGAGGCCTATAAACTATTCCCACGTTTGTTTTCTGGCTCTTAATATTTCTGATTTCTACCCATACTGGTTCTATTTCATAATCTTCAGAGCCAGTTTTTTAAATTAATGCTTTTATATCATTCTTTATCGTTAGGGATCGTCCTCTTCCTTTGACATTCTAAATTTTTACGTAATATTCTGAATAGGTTGCCATCTTTTATAGTTCTATCAAACAATTTTTTTTTTTGCAATTACAGAACTGGTTAGACCACTAGGCAACAGGAACAGTGCCACGTGCCAGAAAGCCAGTAACTGGGATGGGGATTATCTCTGGTTACAGTGCAAGTGAGGAATGATGAAATAAATGCCATTTAATTAGTCATCCAGAAATATTGTTTATTGTACAACAGTTTAAATGTTGTGAAGTAGCCAGAAATGACAAGATTTCCACAGGATTACATCTACTTGTGCCAAACCATCTTACATTTATACAGTATCAATTCTGATCTTAGAATGTCCCTTACAGCAAGGACTTTCTTGAGTGAAGTGACTGTTGTAATGTCTGTTCAGCCCTGGGACTGAAGATTATTCTCAGGTTCATAATATTTAGGATATAACACATCAATACATGCCATCTTTTATGGTTAACAATGGCCCTTTTCTAGTCTAGCCCAATGACTTTCAATTTTTGGGACACTTTGGAATGTTTATATTTTTGTACAGTCTGCCTAAGCATATGAAGTGTGTTATTTTTTAACTCCCTCTCTGAGTGTGGGCCTCACTGGCTCAGCCAGAATTTACTGCTCATTCTCAGTTACTCTTTCAAAGGTGGTAGTGAGCTGCCTTCTTGGACTGCTGCAGTCTATTTGGTGTAGGTAGTATTGGGAGTTCCACGATTTTGACTCAGCAATACTGAAGGAAGAGCAATACGTTTCCAAGTGTGGATGGCATGTGGCTTGGAGAGGAACTTGTCAGTGGTCATACTCCCATATTTCTGCTGTCTTTGTCCTTATTGATGGTAGTGATCATGGGTTTGGAAGGTGCTGTCTGAGAACCCTTGGTGAATTTCTGCAGTATATCTTACAGATGGTATAAACTGTCACTACTGACCATCATTGTTTGAGGTACTGGATGTTTGTGGAAATGTTGCTGGTCAAGTGGACTGTTCCATCTTGCATTTGTCTGCTTTATCTGAAGGATTTATTGCTTCAGGTAAAATACATGTGAGTCAACATGACAGGAGAAAAAATATTAGCTCAAAGCATGGTGTCTGATTGAGGAATTGATATCCAGCATTGGAGGAGGAGTGGGACCCACACAGTGTGACTATCTCCAGCTCAGAGGGTGCAGACAAGGAAGCAACAGTTCTGGTAGTGGCAGAAAAGGAGCATGCTGTCAAGACCCCCGGGTGTGATCTGACAGTGGCAACTGAAGGAGCAGACGGGGTGAAGTCTACAGCTGTTTCAGTTTAAGTAACATCAATTTAATGTCAATTTATTCTGTAATCTGAGATGGTGCTGAATCATGGTGACCTTTTACACTTCTCAATGAACCTGGGTACAAATGACAATATTAAATAAATCTACGATAAATATTACATAGAAGTTACAGTACAAAATCAGGCTAGTCCACAAGACATTCATGCCTACATGTATGCTCCGTATGATCTTCCTCCCACTAATTTCATTGAACCCTATGAGCGAATGTGGCCCAGATCTCTTGTTACTGCAATTCATCCCTCATATTCTTCAGTTCCCCCTAAAGCCTGTTCCCCTTTACAATCCTTGTGACAGCAAGTACACCCTCTTAGAAAAATAGTTTCCAACAGATAAAATGAGATTAGTTAATCATTGTGGATACAGCCTTATGGTGGGGTCGTGGGCGGCGGGAGGTTGTAGATGGTTTCTGAGAGCTGGTGCTCAGCCTCTGCAAAATAGAGGTTAGACCACCAGACAATAATAGCACCCCCGCCCCCCTTGTTAGCAGGTTTAATTACAAAAATTAGTGTCCAAGGCCAGAGGGAAGGAGAGTTTGGAAGCAAGTGAGGCAATCTTGGGCACAGAGGCAAAGGCAATGAATGAAGAGTTCAATATCATGTCATACCCAAAATTCATAGAGATGGGGACACAGAGGGATAAAACTGAGACATTCAGCAGAGAAGGTGAGGTCAGAAGAAGGGATAGTAAATACATTACAGGAGATGGGGTTGGGAGAGGGAATGGAGTCAGAGGGGCACGAGTATCTTATTTACTCCTCCCCCCCTCACCCATCTTTACATATATCACTCTTTTCCTCGCTAGAATTCGTTCTGAAGAAGGGTCACTGGACCCGAAAATGTAAATACAATTTCTCTCCACAGTTGCTGGCAGACCTCCTACGTTTTCCAGCAATTTCTGCTTTTCCTTTAAATGAAAGTATCGATAGGTCTCACGGTGTGAAAATTATGAAATGGAGCAATTTCGCAACAATTTTAGAAACATACCTTTATTATTTTGTTTTTTTTAAATTCTCATGCTATAATTAACAAGACTTTGAGAAGTTCATGCTGGCAAGTTTTCGGCTCATGAATGAACCCGTTCGTCAGGCGGAGATAATTAGTGAATGGGCGTCGCCTGGGAGTGGCACATCTGTGGAATGAAGACCAAGTTTCCTGCGTCATTTACCTCGGGCAAAGAAATCACAGAAGTAAACATTTCAAGAACTTAAAGCACCTCCAGTGAACTTAGCAGAAGTTGGATTCGTCTTCTGAATTGATGTCTGCACTCATGAACTTCACATCGCTTTGGAAACAGAAGAGTAAGGCTGACATAAGGTCAGTGTTGATTAGACTGTTCGTGTATCCTAACCCGGCGCCTCCACGCCTCCCGCTTGGTATTAGCTCCATTTGCTTAAAGTCGTCTGTCACATAATTCGTCTTTATTTGCACATAAGGCAAAATAGCGTACATTAAAGAACCGAGTTTTTAAATTTCCTATCTTCGTTCGAAACTTGGTGGACATTCCGTATTGTCATCCATTGGAGCATGATGCCTTTGCAGTTTGAGTTTTGGTTATGTGCCAAACAGCTCTCTTAAAAAAGAAATAAATTGGGTAAAGTAACAACATCCCTTTGTCCCGCGTGAGAGGCCCGTCCCATTTTTCATTGGCCATTTTCTTCTTTAATTTTTGTCTTCTCCCGCCCCTTGCGCCACGTGTTTAATAAATACCCTTAAAAATACCTGTCATATATACTTAGTCTAACTACCTTTTTCTCCTTGATTTTACTTGGATTTGTTAAATGTCTGTTTTTACTGGGATGTGTTAGCTTCTGAAATACCAGCCCTGCACTCAATTTTCTGGGATAATGTCCATGACTTAAACCTCTCTCATTTAAGTTTCCCAATGTTAGTCCACTGTCTTCACTGTCAGTTTCTGTTCCTGATTTATCTTTGCCTTTTTAGTGATCGTAGAATTGTGTAGAAAAACAAAATGCCTTTTTTTGACTGCTTTTCATTTTTAATACTGCATCAAATTATTAGTATTCATCAAGAATTTCCCTATATTTAAATTATCTTCACATAGATATCTGTATTTCCTAAAGTTGGATCTAGTGGTCCGTCCTGTTACTGTGTAAATAGAAAGTTTTTGGAACCTATCTTTTAGTTTTGGCTAACACACAAATTTGCAAGGGAGGAGGATACGAATGGGTTAAATCAATACTAAATGGGATTTGAGGGAGTTCCACTCACTTGAGGTCCAACAGTTCTGGTGGGATCAAAGCTCTGTAGTAGGCATTGCCAGATCTGCAGTTGCGCCCATGGGGGAGGGACAATGGATCCCAGATCCGTGGGACTCCAAGACATAGGACAGGAGATGCTCCGTCTCCTAAGGAACAGAGCCAAATTAGATGGAAGGGTGGGTTTGGAAGGCTGTAAGGGTTGGGAGGAAGAGATAAACAATATTTTTTAGGGGTGGACACACAGCACTCACCAGAAATAGCAGCCCTTCATTCCTGCTGTTCTTTTAACAAAAACCCAGACTGCCAGTTTCTTCCTGCCTGCCCACACTGTTTCATAATGGGGTTTGGACTTTGAAATAATGTTGTGATTATGTCAGGAGCTGCTTCTTGTGGGGGATAAACAACACAGTGTGGTTGGAGTTTGGAAAAGGAAAACACATCAGCTAGGGAGAAGCCTGCAGTCTAGCCACATGAATGTGAGAAATATATGTGGAGAAGCACGCAGAGAAGAATAACTAGCATGATGCAGTAGAGTTGAGGGAATAGTTTTTGAATAATGTAACAAAGATTAGAGCCTGATATATGTCTGAACACAACACATGAAATTCCGTCTAAATATTACAGTGTTGTAAAGAAGCCCAAGCCTAATTCTTGACTAAAAGATCATTCTTGACTGTTCCTTCTTTTCAACTGGCCCAACCCAAACTGATGGGTGTGGGAATAAAACAACACAACAAAAGACACAGCAACTGTTTTATGATGTGGGCATGGTAATATTGGGGTTACCTGAGTTCTAAACAGATTCAGTTGGCCCATAACCAATTATTCACATGTTAAATACGTAAATGATTTCAGCTGACAGTAATGGCGGGTGGTGGGCTTGGGACAGGTTGTGAAGGTGGTGGGCTGGGCACCTGCCCTATTTTACATGCCACTCAACACACCCTTTTGGGGTATGTAGTATCAGCCTATTCTTAGAATCCAACTGTCAGTTTTCATGTACTTTGTTTAATTCACACATCTGTGTCATCATTATGAACTTGATTATATATAGCATTTTTCAAGTATTACAGTCTTGCAAAACACTTCAGAGATACTAAACCATGTAAGACATTTTAAGGCAGCTGACCAAAAGTATGGTCTAAGAGACGAGGGTTAAAGGAATGTCTTAATGGAGGGAAGTGGATTGGAGAGATTTAGGGAGAAAATTCTCTTGGCAGAACACAATTAAACTCAAATGGTCAAGAGGCCAGTATTATGGGAGTGCAAATATTTTGGATGGTTACCTAAAACTTGAGTTTGGAGCTAGGTTGTGCCGTTTGGTCCCTTGAGCTTGCTCCATCATTTAATAAGACCATGGCTGATTTTGATTTAACCATTCAAATCCACATTCCTGCCTACGAACCCATGACCTTGCACTGCCTTGCTTACCAATGATCTGTTCACTTCAATTTTTAAAAATATTCAAAGTCTCTGTTTCCACTGTAGAATTCTCTCTCAAAACAAAGAGTCTTGCCTCTGAGAATTTATTTTTCTATCTTGCCTTAAATGGAAAATGCTTAATTTTATACAGTGATGTCTGGTTCTAGGTTCTCTGACAAGAGGGAACCTTCTTTTCATATCAACCCTGACAGACCCACCAGGATTTTGCATGTTTCAATCTAATCACCTCTTAAATCTTCCTAATCAAGCCTAATCTGATCAACCTTTTTTCTTAAGACAACCCACCTATTCCAGGTATTAATCTAGAAAACCTTCCCTGAATTGCTTCTGATGCATTTTCAATATTCCTTCAATAAGAAGACCAGTATTCTACGCAGTAGTCCACATTCGGTCTCTTCAGTGCCTTGGACAACTGAAGCATAACCTCATTTTATGACCAATTCTCCTTATATTGAACAATAACACTGTTAACTTGCCTAATTACTTGATGTACCTACATGCTATCCTTTTGCGATCTGTGCACTTGGACTCTGAGGTTCCTCTGCATCTCGGAGCACAGCACTCTTTTTATTTTAAAAAAAAGGAAAACAAACTGATATTTGTTTAAAGCACATTTAAATAACATGCTTCCTTTTTTATTCTTCCTATCAAAATGAATAATTTCACATTTTCCCACGTTATACTTGCCAGATCTTGCCCACTCACTTAATCTGACGATGTCGGCTTTTGTATCCTTCGTAGACTTTTTATGACCTCAACAATCTATTTTTCTACCTACCTTTATGATACCAGCAAATTTAGCAACCATACCTTCTGTCACACTTATCCAAGTTATTTATATTAATTATTAAATGTTCAGGCCTCAGCAATGGTTCTTGTGGCACATGTTCCAACACAAATACAGAGAGTCAAATCAAATCCGCTTATCAATGTTTATTTGCAACCATGCAAAATTAAAAGATTCAATGATCCTCAAAATTGACCCCAATAGTTCCTAACCGGACTTGTGAATAATTGATAAGACTCCCAAGTTTATAGCTTAAACAAAGGAATTAACAATTTATTATTAACATGGTAGCTTTAACAGAGCAAAGTTAAACAAGGTATTCTAGTTAAAGTCTATGATTTAAACCCAATGTTCTTTTATTCTAGCCCTTGTGTAAGGACAGACCAACAGACACAGTTAAAGGAATGAGTCAAAGTAAAAATGAGAGCGATGTAACTGTCCACTTGACTTCACTCTCTATGATCCATAATATCACAGCAAACGGGATTGTATCTTGCTTAGTTTCTGAAAATATTGGTCATTGCAAACTGTTTCCAGTAGGTTTTGAATTCTTATAATTGAGATTCTATTCCCCAAACTTTTGATAAAGGGAAGATAACCAGGGAACAATCAAATCTCCATCCTACAGCTTTGGTAGCCACAATCCTTCTGACAGAAACACACAATTCAAAGCTGGTGCAAAATTTGGTTTCTCTTTTTTTCTTCCAACATTTTCTTTGTTAGACTGATTGGAATCATAACTCCCTGTGATGTCCCAGTTAATATGCAAACATCTTCCATCTATTTGAGCATAATGCATTACTGGAGGAAACGTCTGCAGATTACTTGTGACGAGAATCAAACCGCAACTAGCTTCCAGGTCTGGCTTCATGAACAAATATCAGTTTGTTTTCCTTTTTTATAAAACAAGCTGCTGCTCCAAGGTCACCTTCAACTCAGAGCTCAAAACCAAAATTGATTAAACAAAAGAAGAACAGCGAGGGTTCTAATGGCACACCCCTTATTATAGCTTGCCAACCACTAACAGATCCATTTATGCCTGCTTTGTATTGTAATCCAGCCGATTTTCCATCCATGGTAATATGTTACTCGACTACATCATGAGGTTTTAATTTCAGCAGTAACCTTTGTGGCATGTTAATAAATGCATTCTGGAAATCTAAATATACTACATCCAATGGTTTTCCCCTTGTGCATAGCTCATGTTACTATTTCAGAGAGCACCAATAAATTGGTTAGTATGGTTTTGTGAAAGGCAATTCACATTGACTCCACCTTGAATTTGTCCTGCTGTACATTTTAAATAATAGTAATGCAACAGCAGGCCTATTGTCCTCTGCAACTGTGGTGATTTTACCTCTACCTCATAGCTTCCAATGTCTTCCCTGTGACAGAAGTTAAACTAACTGGCAAGGTTTTTATTTTCTATCTCTGCTTTCTTGAATGAAGAAATCACATTTGCAATTGTTGGGTTGGAGGATAGTACAAAGTGGGGGGAGGGGAGTGGGGAACCAAGGCCTAATGGGGTTTGAAAACAAGGATGAGGCGTTGCTCAGTTTGATCCCCGTGTGTACTGGCGTGCAGAGGTTAATGGCCATGTGGATTTTCGTGTATGAAAGGACACAGGCAGCAGAATTTAGAAAACATTAATTTTACAGAAGGTGGAATGTAGGAGTGTGGCAACGAATGCATCAGAATAGTCAAGACTACAGGTAACAAAGGCATGGATGAGGAATTTCCACAGCAGATGGACTGAGACGGGTAGCTTTGAGTAAAGTGAGGTGGAACTACAGTCTTAGTGATGATTAAGACATACAGAATTATACAGCGAGTGTGGGAGTATTCAAGAATCTGCAAGATTTTGA